AATATTCAATTTATTTATTGCTTTTTTTTGTCGTTTATTGACGATGTTAATCGCACACAGGTAATTCATTAGACAGACACTTTTGTTCATTTATCATTCAATTTTTTCCAATTCAATCGTGTTGGCAGGAATTATCCGTCAGGTTTTGTTCAATAATTTTTCTCTTATCGAACCGAAGAAGTATCAGTGTGTCTCAGTCGGAAACTGGTTTCGATGATCGAGGAACTTGTCCAACTTGTAAGTACTTGACTACCGCAATAAGAATATTATTTCCTTTGTATTTCCCCATTAAATCATAATCGGTTAAATCATAAGCGAGCGTCTCTTGCGTTTCCAAGAGCACGCGAAGGCCAGTTACTTTCCACAGATTTTGTTAATCGATTATGCACACCGTTTGACCTAACAACTTCGATGATGAAACTTGTCTTTTCAGAAGACGCTTCAAGTTTTTGCGAAGTACTCGTGATATGATTTGTAATCTTTTATTTGAGAACTTGGACTCTTACATAACCGGAAGACAGACTTTTTTACTGGTTGTCGTAGAGAGATGTTTATTTTTTAAACAATTTATGTTTGGGTAACTTTTATTTCAATCATTAATTAACACAACATTTGTTAAGACAGTCATACGTCAGAGTGTCAGAGTGAAGGAGTCAAATAAACCCCCAGTCCGTAATCCCAGTCAAACCGCAAGTGAAGTCTTCCTTATGTACGTATTTACGTCACTATAGTATGTAGAAATTGAGAGTGAAGAACCAATAGTTAAAAAGTGACAAGGTACGATATCTCATATTATCACTTGCGGATAAAGAATAGAAGGAGAATCACAATAGCGAAAATTCCCAATTCGTAATTTATTTTAAATTACATAAAACAGAGTATCTTAAATCTTATCAAATTTCAAATAATATGTAATTTGTGCAAGACAATTCTTCTCGATACGCGTCGTACACTTTGACCTACAAGCGAATAAAATAAAGACGGAAGTATAAAAAGAGACATAAACTGTTTCGACAGTTTTCCGTGAAGTGGCTAATGCGATTATTAAGTCGAGCCACGCAGGCCTGCTCGCATATTTTGTCACGGATCGTAGAATTCCGGTCCAGCTCGTGAAACAATCTTGCAACTTTCGCCGCCTTTTAATGGATCGCGAGAAAAATCGCGTTCCCTTTTTTATTTCTTGACGCGATTGAATGAAATGGTAAATTGGTGCTCATTTGAAACGCAAAATACGTGATCTTTACTGCACGGATTACGTTACGAAACAGGCAAAGTTATTGCGCGTGTAACGAAACTTTTTGTGGCTCATTCCTTAATGAAACAAATTGCACACGTGCGTTCTAATACATATTTTATCCACCACTGCAGACCAGACATGCACACCATTCTGCACTGCAAATCTTATACAGCATCAGATTCAAATACATACAATAGTAAACAATAGAATGCATATCATTATTTATATAAATTAAATGATATTTCTAAATTGACATTACAATTGTTTTAATTTGCATAACAATTATACATATTTAGTACCTATAGTCTTACACTGAATAATACATCAGAATAATCGATACACCTGAATCATTCCAATTTACATATTCTAGCAGTTAATTAATGCAGTTCTTGTAGATTCAAAGGCATGAAGTATTAAAAACGAAATGTATATTATAATTTTTACAAGTTATATCAAATTTATAAATTAATTGTTTTATATCAGAATCATAAATATTTAGTATCTACAGTTTTACATTGAATAGTCTATCAGAATAATCGACACACCTAAATCATTTCAATTTACATGTTCCAGCAGCTAATTAATGTACTTCCAAAGACATGAACTATTAAAAGTGAAGTGCATATTATAATTTTTACAAGTTGAATCAAATTTATAAATTAATTGTCTTATATAAGAATCATAAATATTTAATATCTACAGTTTTACATTGAATAGCCCATCAGAATAATCGACACGCCTCAATCATTTTAATTTACATATCCCAGCAGATAATTACAGATTAATTGTTTTTTTTCGATACTAAAAGAAAAGCGCATTCCACGAGACGTAAGGACATTTCAAGTGACCTAATACAACCCGGGTAATTTTTCCTTTCATTTCCTCCTTCCTGTTTCTCTCCTTTTCTTAGACGTAACTTTTCTCGAACGTAGGCGGAAGCACGTTGATCAGAGGCGGTAACGATCGCTTTTTACGCGGTTAACGATCGACTACTCGTTGGCGAACGGCGACTTTAACGACTGGTCGAGTGGACATTGTTTTGCGGAGTTTACTTGACCAGTAGCGATTATTATTATTCAAACGTCGACGCGGATAATTGTAGTTGCAGAACTGGTTCGCGGTTGAAATCGAACGGAATGGAAAACCAGTGGAAACCAACGTGTACAACTTCCTGCTCCTCCAACACGGCTCTTAAATTTTATGCACAAACTATAGGATTTAATAACGTTACAATTCCACAGAATAAACGTTATAAAAAATCTTCTCAAATGTTTTAATAATCGAAAATAAAGGAACTCCTCAAATTGTAAATAATATATTGAATAGTATTAAAAAACAGATTAATCCACTGACCCATGGGGTCATTCTAAACGAATCAATATTATAATTGGTTACTTTGGTTACAATTAGCAGCGTGGTTTCTTGTTCACTCGATAATCCAAATTTGCAATGCAAAAGCGAGCACACATCGCTTATGTGGCAAGATGATGAAAGTCCCGAAGGAAATAAAAGGGAATGTGAACGATTATTACTAATCATTACATCTCATCGGAATTGCAATTGCTTTTGCAATATTAATTTCGTCCAGTATTGGAATAAGATTTATAACAACGATTAGTAAACTGTTAATTAATGAAGGAGGACGAGAATTGCAAACTGTATTCGCGTAAGCTGATTTAGCCTGGAATTAACATTCTTAATTATTTCGTTTCGTAGGTAATTGTCTTACGCTTTATTTAATCGACATTGTAAAAGAAATATGTTCCTGTATGTAATCTAAATTAATATGCACGTTCTTCGTAATTGATGACTGTTCACGAGTTTGCACTCAGCTCTCTGATTGCTCTTACATTTATTCCATGTTCACGCGTAACGTTCTACGTGTTGTAACACAGATATTTATTGTTATGTAACAAATTCTATAAAAATCGAGACAAATTACGTCGTTGTTCACTTTCGTCGATTCAACGAGTTCTATTTACATTCATCTCTGTATGTACTTCCTATTTTCCCGTTCGGTCAACCCTCGAGCTGATTACTCAACGAGACATTTCCATTTTATTGCCCGATTTAACAAATTGCATCTCGACGGATTGAACGAAAGTCGCTTTTCACTTTTGACTTTGAATGCTTTTCGGGCGTCAGTTTGTGAAAATCGCGAAGAAAGGCGGATGGATCGAGGCAAGAGGCGATTCGACGCGAGCTGCACCGTTCTCCAGTCGTCAACTTCGCTAGCCACGGGGCTGGACCAATGATCGACAAGTGGCGCGAGGTAATCGACATGCTTTAACTTGCGATAAGGCAATCCCTGGAGCGCGCCCGGGGGATCGCGGCTTAACATATCATCCCCGTCTTACGGTCCGTTAGTAGTCGCCGCGAATCTGCTGAACCGGCAGCGATGTACGCTCCTCTCAATCGCCTCTGGTACGATCATTTCTAGTACAGAGAATATTAATTAATCGTGATTAATGGATAATCAGGAATTATTACTGCGGTTATTAATCGTAATGTTTAATAATTGTGCCTGGAGGGTGAATGGTAATTGTGATTACAAACGAAAGTGTATGTTACATTTATTTACTTCTGACGTCACGACTCGCTTAGTCATTTCCAGTATGCAGATTATCAGTTAATCGTGATTAATAAGGTGATAATCACCTGAAATTATTAATGCGATAATTAATTGCTGGCATTCACCTGAATGCTAATGGTGATTGCAAACGTTATTTTGCGAGTTTCACGAAAGGTTCTGTCGTAATACGTGAATGTATTTGCAAATAAATAAATAATCGGTTAATAATTGGAACTATAATTTTCATAGTAAAAATCAACTGATGATTGAGAACACTGAAAGTGTTTTCATTTATCTCCATTTATTCTCTGAATATTAATATTAGGAAATAAGTAATACATATAGTGGATGTATATAGTCTGTGCATTTCTTCAAAATTAAAGAACACA